TGTCCTGGGCTTCCTGGGGGATGATTGGGGGTTAAAGGAGGACAAAGAGAGACCTGGGGGCCTGGGGAGTGTGTCCAGTGAAGACGGGGAGGAGGAAGAGGGGGGAGCAAGCCTGGAAGAGTGGTCAGAGGGGGAGGAGAATGACGACAACGACGGCGGGGGCTGCGGACGGACGGGCCACAGCCCTGACCAGCTGCCTGGGACAGGCGCCCAGAGCTTGGGCCAAGGCCCCTCCCCCAGCCCCCATGGCCACCTGGAAAGAGACACAGCTGCTCCCGGGAGGACAGAGATGGAACACATTGCATCTCTCCCAACTGAAGGCTGGACTTGTATGCACAATTCCCCTCCTGACTGAGGACCCAGGAGTCCGGTACCCCCGGCCCCTCCCCGCTCAGACCCAGGGGTCCAGGCCCCCGGCCCCTCCCCGCTCAGACCCAGCGGTCCAGGCCCCCGGCCCCTCCCCGCTCAGACCCAGCGGTCCAGGCCCCCAGCCCCTCCTCCCTCAGGCCCGGTACTCTCTACTCGCTTCTCAGAAGCCGCCTCTCAACACTATTTTCCCTCAGGACCCAGGAGTCACGTCCCCAGCCACTTCCTCTTTGAGGATCCAGGAACATAAATCATGATCCGTGAAGACTCAGAAATCTCCAGCCATGGTCCCTCCTCCTTAAGGACTGCAAATGCTATCCCCTGAAGACCCACAAATTTAGGCTCTGATCCCCACTTTCACAGAGAACCTCCAGGCCCCCGGCCCCTCCCCGCTCAGACCCAGCGGTCCAGGCCCCCGGCCCCTCCCCGCTCAGACCCAGGGGTCCAGGCCCCCGGCCCCTCCCCGCTCAGACCCAGGGTCCAGGCCCCCGGCCCCTCCCCGCTCAGACCCAGGGTCCAGGCCCCCGGCCCCTCCTCCCTCAGACCCAGGGGTCCTGACCCCTCCTCCCTCAAGGACCCTTCCTCTCTCTTCTGTCCTAAGCGTGTCTTCTTGAAGGAAGGTGCTGTTTCCCCTGTAGATGCATTTCTGCACAGTGCGGACACGTTGGGTGCTTATGGACTTGTGATGTGGTCAGTCCTCTCCTTTAAGACCTTAGGTGACTCCCGCTGGCCTTGGCACCAAATCTGGGCTTTTCATATCCAACACGATGGAAACCTCGCCTTCCATCTCTCCCACTTCCCTGGGCTCTGGGGGACATTAAGGGGAGGCACTCATCCTTTCTGGACCTAAATGGACACACAGATAGGCACACACACACCCTCTCTTGCTTGCAGACGTTTGGAAACCCTGTGTTCTCCCCCGAGAATGCCTCCTTCCCAACTCTAGGCCTCCAGAAAGTAGACCCCGCCTCCGAAACTTGTAGCCCAGCGATCTGCGCCTCCACCTTTTTCATCTCCCCTCGCAGGCTGCCCAGGATGGACTTGGTTTTGTCCACCTGCACATCCTTTCCGGTTCTGCTCTCACACGGCGAGCCTCCTGCGCCAGCTCCCTGAGAGCACAAGCACCGTGGCCTGTGCTGGTCCCGTCCACGCTGAGGGCCACGGCTGGTTTGCAGGGATCTGTGTTCACCCGGGCCGGCCCTATGCCACCCCCATCCCAGCACACAGACCCCTGACTTGTGAAGCTTCCCGCCTGCAGGGCAGGGGCTGTGTGGATCCGATGCCGCATGCCCCGCACCCAGCATGGCCACGGGGACCTGCTTCTTTCTGGGGAATCTGTCCTACGTGCTTTCTAGATTTAAAAACGTGAGTTCACTCCATACGACGGGGTGTCCTGAATTGGACCCTGGGGCGGGTAAAGGCTGTTGACGGACATGGGAAGCATCTAGCGTTTGACTGACGGTTACTGTCTTCATTTGGACAAATGTACCGATGGCTGGGTGAGGGACTCACCTGGCAGGGAGCTAGGTGAGGCGACATGGGAGCTCAAAGCAGCTGTCCTGTACATCTAAAAATGATTCTGAAATAAAAAGTAAATTTAAAAAGAATAAAGTGAATTCACATTGATCATCTCGCTCAAACCTGAGGGGGTGGGTGCAACCCTCCGGGACCCCACCCCTGCCTCCTCCTTCAGCCCTGGGAGTCCCTGCCCCCCCCCCCGCCCCGCCCAACTTTGTAGTCTGCAGACTCGTAACTGGGACTCCCCTCCCTTCTTCCCCTCCCTTCAGGGCCTTCACTTCCCAGTTGCTGCACCACCTGCTCCCCCTGTGCTCCGAGTCTGAGGTCATTTCTCACTGCATCGTTCTGGAATCTTGTTGTCTCATCCTTTCCCCACACAGGACCCCATGTCTCCTCCCCCGACGCCCCTTACCAGACACGTGTGTCAGACCTGTCAGTGGGGCACTGATGGGGCAGCTGGCTGGGGTCAAGGCAGGGGCAAGCTGGAGAAATGATTTCATCCTCTGCAGGGGACCAGGACCCCTGGGTCTGAGCGGGGAGGGGCTGGGGGTCCGGACCCCTGGGTCTGAGCGGCGAGGGGCTGGGGGCCCGAACTCCTGGGTCTGAGGGAGGAGGGGCTGGGGGCCCGGACTGCTGGGTCTGAGGGGGGAGGGGCTAGGGGGAGGGGCTGGGGGCCCGGACCCCTGGGTCTGAGGGGTGAGGGGCTGGGGGCCCGGACTCCTGGGTCTGAGGGGGAGGGGCTGGGGGCCCGGACCCCTGGGTCTGAGGGGTGAGGGGCTGGGGGCCCGGACTCCTGGGTCTGAGGGGGAGGGGCTGGGGGCCCGGACCCCTGGGTCTGAGGGGTGAGGGGCTGGGGGCCCGGACTCCTGGGTCTGAGGGGGAGGGGCTGGGGGCCCGGACCCCTGGGTCTGAGGGGTGAGGGGCTGGGGGCCCGGACTCCTGGGTCTGAGGGGGAGGGGCTGGGGGCCCGGACCCCTGGGTCTGAGGGGTGAGGGGCTGGGGGCCCGGACTCCTGGGTCTGAGGGGGAGGGGCTGGGGGCCCGGACCCCTGGGTCTGAGGGGTGAGGGGCTGGGGGCCCGGACTCCTGGGTCTGAGGGGGAGGGGCTGGGGGCCCGGACCCCTGGGTCTGAGGGGTGAGGGGCTGGGGGCCCGGACTCCTGGGTCTGAGGGGGAGGGGCTGGGGGCCCGGACCCCTGGGTCTGAGGGGTGAGGGGCTGGGGGCCCGGACTCCTGGGTCTGAGGGGGAGGGGCTGGGGGCCCGGACCCCTGGGTCTGAGGGGTGAGGGGCTGGGGGCCCGGACTCCTGGGTCTGAGGGGGAGGGGCTGGGGGCCCGGACCCCTGGGTCTGAGGGGTGAGGGGCTGGGGGCCCGGACTCCTGGGTCTGAGGGGGAGGGGCTGGGGGCCCGGACCCCTGGGTCTGAGGGGTGAGGGGCTGGGGGCCCGGACTCCTGGGTCTGAGGGGGAGGGGCTGGGGGCCCGGACCCCTGGGTCTGAGGGGTGAGGGGCTGGGGGCCCGGACTCCTGGGTCTGAGGGGGAGGGGCTGGGGGCCCGGACCCCTGGGTCTGAGGGGTGAGGGGCTGGGGGCCCGGACTCCTGGGTCTGAGGGGGAGGGGCTGGGGGCCCGGACCCCTGGGTCTGAGGGGTGAGGGGCTGGGGGCCCGGACTCCTGGGTCTGAGGGGGAGGGGCTGGGGGCCCGGACCCCTGGGTCTGAGGGGTGAGGGGCTGGGGGCCCGGACTCCTGGGTCTGAGGGGGAGGGGCTGGGGGCCCGGACCCCTGGGTCTGAGGGGTGAGGGGCTGGGGGCCCGGACTCCTGGGTCTGAGGGGGAGGGGCTGGGGGCCCGGACCCCTGGGTCTGAGGGGTGAGGGGCTGGGGGCCCGGACTCCTGGGTCTGAGGGGGAGGGGCTGGGGGCCCGGACCCCTGGGTCTGAGGGGTGAGGGGCTGGGGGCCCGGACTCCTGGGTCTGAGGGGGAGGGGCTGGGGGCCCGGACCCCTGGGTCTGAGGGGTGAGGGGCTGGGGGCCCGGACTCCTGGGTCTGAGGGGGAGGGGCTGGGGGCCCGGACTCCTGGGTCTGAGGGGGGAGGGGCTGGGGTCTGGTCTGAAGGAGGACTGACTTCCTGGCCTGGGATATCTGTCCGGCCAGAGCCTGTTCTGGGAGACAACGCACGATGTCGCTCTCCCTCTGAGGTTCAAGGGGCGAGGCCTGGGGCGGGGCTACGACCCCCTAGGTGGGGGCGGGGTCTTGCTGCAGGGCAGGCCTCTGCTGGCCTGGGCTCTGAGTGCTGGGTACTGACCACAGCGGGCAGCCGAAGGGTCAGGCAAGCCTTGGAGAAGGTGAGGTCCGGAGGCTGGAGCCCGGGCCAGGCGGAGGCAAGGGTCAGATGGCTTGAGGTGGGCCTGAGGGTGAAGCTGTGCAGGTGGTCAGAGTCCTGGGTTCTTTGGGGGGTCAGGGGCTAATTAAAGACCTTGAGACTGTGGAGTGGTTGAGTGTCAGGGACACAGAGTCTTGGGGGGGTCCCAAGATGTGTGAGTTATATAAGGTCCTGGCAGAGGGTTTGGCTGGTTGTCTGGACCCCTGGGTCTGAGGGGGGAGGGGCTGGGGCTATTGAGGTGGACCCCAGACCACTTAAGGGCTTGGTGGTCATTCCCGAGTGCTTGCTCCCACCTAGGCCCCAGGCGTCCCCCAGGCCCTGGTGTGAGCCACCCCGCCCTCCACAGGCCCTGGGGGCAGAGAGCACCTGTTTGCTCTTAGGAGGCTGAGGCTGCTCATCCACCCCCAGGGCCCAAGTCTGTTTGCTTTGGAAACAGGTGTGGGGTGTCTCGAGTTATCTGGTTCATCTTTCATCCTCAGGCCATCAGGTGGCGCAGGGATGTGGGGGTGGGGTGAGGGACATCTGTGGCCTCAGACTTGACCTCACCCCAACCGGAGACTGGTCTCCCCACTCCCAAGACGCCTCTAATTAGAAGGGAAAGTGAGTCACGATGGCCTGAGCCAATCAGCTTCCACCCTCCTCCTCAGATCCAGGGGTCCAGGTCCCCAGCCCCTCCTCCCTTGGCCCCTGGTCTGGCAGGACCTAAGTCCTGGTCACCCTCTCTTCTGCCCTTGCAGAGATGCCCGGGAAGCCATCACAGGAGAAACAGGTGGAGATGGGGGCTGTGGAGAACGGTGCTGGGGAGGACCTGGGGGGCCTCACGGCAGAGGAGCTGCGGCAGGGCCAGGAAGCGGCCCTGGCACTGGAGGACATGATGGCGCTGAGTGCCCAAACCCTGGTCCAGGCCGAGGTGGACGAGCTCTACCAGCACGTGCGTCCCCTGGGCCAGGGCCGCTTTGGCAGGGTCCTGCTGGTCACCCACCGTCAGAAAGGTACAAAGGCCTGGGGACAGAGGCGGGGGGCAGTGGTGTGGGCCCAGGCAGAAGCTAGCCAAGGCTGGGGAGTCTGTAAACCTCAGTCAAGTCCTGCCTCTGCCCCTTCCAGGCTGTGTGTTCTTAGTAACTCCCCTACCCTCTCCGAACCTCAGCCTCTCCTTTGAAAACGTGGGTGACGATTCCTTCTCTGAAAGAACTGTGATTCTCTGAGGAAATGTCGGTAGCTCTAGTTGCTGGGGACAATGGGGAGGAAGACAGAGCCCCCTCTCATGGCCCTCACACGTGGCCGGCTTAGTGGTCATCGTAGGAGTGACGCAGAGCCATGCAGTCTGCCAGGCACTTAACAAGGCCAGCACACGGTGGTTGTGCACCCCAACCCCAATCTAGTCGTCACTTTCCAAGGAGACCGGAGGGCTCAGCACTGTCCAGGGGGCTGCTGGGCCCCAAGGAGGAGTCTGAGCCAGCCCAGGCTTCAGGGAGCTCCCAGCACGAATCGGGAGAGCGTGTGTTAGTTTCCTATGATTGTCACAACAAAGTACCACAGACTGGGGGGGCTCACAGTTCTGGAGGCGGGAGTCCGAGATCAAGGTGCCAGCACGGTTGGTTTCTCCTGAGGCCTCTCTCCTCGGCTTGCAGATGTCCACCATCTCCCTGTGTCCTCACACCGTCTCCCCTGTGTGCATGTCTGTGTCCAAATTTCCTCTTCTTATAAGGACACCAGTCATACTGGACTAAGGACAACCCCAATGATCTCATTTTACCTCTTTCAAGACCCTCTCTCCAGGGAATTCCCTGGCGGTCCAGTGGTTAGGATTGTGCGCTTTCACTGCTGCGGGCCTGGGTTCAATCCCTGGATGGGGTACTAAGATCCCGCAAGCGCAAGCCGTGTGGCGTGGCCAAATACAGTCATATTCTGTGATACTGCAGGGTGAGAACTTTAACATATGAATTTGGCAGTGGGGAGTGGGGGCGGGGGAGGGACACAAGTCAGCCCATAACAGAGAAAGATGCAAAAAGATGCAGACCTGGCTCGTCACAGAACTTGGAGGCCATAATGGGGAACAGAGGGTTTGTTAGGGGGCCTCTTCCAGGTCCTCAAAATAGAAGGCAGTTTGTGCTTGATGATGGGAATTCAGAGCATTGTCGATAAACAGAAGAGGCACTGCTGCACCCAGTTGGGGAGGGGGAGGGGAATGGTTAGCGTTTTAGGTAAGGACATGACCCTCCCCCATCACACACAGCCTCTTGGGCAAGGTTGGGCCCTGGCAGCTGGTGACTCAAAAATTGAAGAAACCATATGCTGTTTGTCTTTCTGTGTCTGACTTACCTCACTCAGTATGACAATCTCTATCTAGGTCCATCCATGTTGCTGCACACGGCACGATTTCATTCTTTTTCATGGCTTGAGGAATACTCCATCCTGTGTTTATCCATTCATTTGTCGATGGACATTTAGGTTGCTTCCATGTCTTGGCTATTGTAAATAGTTCAGCTATGAACATTGGGGTGCGTGTGTCTGAATGGAGTCTTTACCCGATATATGCCCAGGAGTAGGATTGCAGGATCACATGATAACTCTATTTTCAGTTTTTTAAGGACCGTAATGGAAAAGAAAAAAACAAAAATTGGAGAAACCAGAGTTTCTGCCTTCAGGGAGCTTACATTCTAGCACGTTGTTTCCACGTGTGGCAAAATTCACAATAATTCCTTAGTGGGGTCTAACACCCAGTTCAGGGTATCTTTTCCCCTGTTGCCTCAAACATGGCTTTTCGGCGTGGGTTTGCTGGAACGAGGGGCCCAATAACATTATTGGAGGTTCTGAGTTCGGTTTTCGTGGTACCATTCTACCTGCTCCAAGACAGCAGAGTAGGAACTCACTAAATACTATTAACATTATTATCATTACCACTGGTGTTGTTTCAGTGGCCACGCTGTTTTAGGGCAGGCTTGGCAGGGGGCAGGCGGTGGAGGGGGTGAGGGCGGCATATGGGAGAGAGTCCAGGCTGAGGGACAGCAGGGCTGGCCCTAGGCTCGTGCACGTCTCACCTCTGTCCCTGCTCCGTCAGGCACAGCCTTTGCCCTGAAGAAGCTGCCGAAGGCCTCCACCACCCTCCGAGGCTTCCTGTATGAGTTCTGCGTGGGCCTCTCCCTGGGCTCGCACTCGGCCATCGTGGCGGCCTACGGCATTGGCGTGGAGTCAGTCGACTCCTACAGCTTCCTGACCGAGCCTGTCCTGCATGGAGACCTCATCGCCTTCATCCAGCCCAAGGTGGGTCGGCCTCCCATGGCTCAGGGGGTCCCACGTGGACGCCCCTACCCAACCTGGGCCTCAGGAATCACACTCACTGCATCGTGACTCAGGTGGCCCTGCAGAGGCCTCACTGGGCCCGCAAGTCATGTGGAATTGTGAGGCCTCTAAGGAGTTCACGGCCGCCACAGAACCAACACTGCATCCTACTGAGGTTCACCAGGGCCCACAGGGCTCACACCAGGACCTATGGGGCTCACACCAGGCCTCATGGGGCTCACACCAGGCCTCACGGGGATCACACCAGGGCCCACGGGGCTCACACCAGGCCTCACGGGGCTCACACAAGCCCCCACGGGGCTCACCCCAGGCCCCATGGGGCTCACACCAGGCCTCATGGGGCTCACACCAGGGCCCACGGGGCTCACACCAGGACCCACGGGGCTCACACCAGGGCCCACGCGGCTCACACCAGGCCTCACGGGGCTCACACAAGCCCCCACGGGGCTCACCCCAGGCCCCACGGGGCTCACACCAGGGCCCACGGGGCTCACACCAGGCCTCACGGGGCTCACACCAGGCCTCACCAGAGCCACCCTCTTTGGGGCCCTCCATCCCCTGGGCCTGCTCCCCGGGGCCGAGGACAAGCACTATGGCCCCGTTCCCTTCTGGCTGGCGGGCAGGGTGGTGGACCCTGACACCTGTCACCCACAGGTGGGCCTCCTGCAGCCAGCAGCCCAGCGCTGTGCGGCCCAGCTAGCCTCAGCCCTGGAGCACATCCACTCCCGCGGCCTGGTATACCGGGACCTCAAACCAGAGAACGTGCTGGTGTGTGACCCAGCCTGCCGGTGGGTCAAGCTGACCGACTTCGGCCACACGCGGCCCCGCGGGACCCTGCTGCGCCTGGTGGGGCCACCCATACCCTACACGGCCCCGGAGCTCTGTGGGCCCCCGCCCCTCCCCGAGGGCCTGCCCATCCAGCCCGCCCTGGACGCTTGGGCACTGGGTGTCCTGCTCTTTTGCCTTCTCACTGGTTACTTCCCCTGGGACCAGCCCCTGGCGGAGGCCGACCCCTTCTACGAGGACTACGTCATCTGGCAGGCCTCGGGCCAGCCCCAGGCTCGTCCTCAGCCCTGGCTTGGCCTGACGCCCGTGGCAGACGCTCTCCTGTGGGGGCTGCTGGACCCTCACCCCCGAAGGAGAAGCCCTGTGAGCTCCATCCGGGGCTACCTGGGGCGGCCCTGGAGGCAGCGGGCGGGGGAGGCCGAGGAGGCGCCCCAGGGGGAGAAGGGGGACCCAGAGTGAGAAGCGCGGCCTGGGGAGGCTCCGGGGGGCAACCCCAGCCCCACCCTGAGGTCTCCTCCACATTCACGGGGGGCGGCTGGCTGCTCTGCTGTCTGCTGGTCTCTGTCTCATGAGTTTCCCCTTTCTGTCCTTAATTCCCACGGCGGGGCGTCTGTCTGCTGCCTTGGTCCGGGGGAAGGGGATCTCCGAGAGCACCCCGTGTCTGTCCACACCTGCCCCACCTTCCCCGGGCCTTGGCACCCGCTGCTCCCTTTGCCTGCGGTGCTCTGGGTGCTGTCCCGCACCTCCTGCCAAGCTGTCTCAGCCAGGCCGCCCCTCACCACCGGGACACTACAGCCGCCCCCCAGCCTGCACTCCCAGCCCCCTACTCTTGCTCCGCTCCCCTTTCCTCCTTTCCTCCGTGACACTCACTCCCTTCCAGCCGGACAATTTATCTATTCGTAGTGGTTATTCTGTGTGCCCGGCTGAAATCTGGGCTCCCGGGGGCCCAGGATCTCAGCCTGTCCTGCTCTCTGACGGATGCCACGTAGAAGGGGTGATCCTGCCCCGTGTAGGTGGTCCACAGATGCTTATTCAGTAAACGGACACCCCCCCCCCCC